CAGTGCCTCCACGAACGGCATGCTGATGTTGACCTGCTTTAACATTGCCATGAACTTGGCAAACTCAGTCTCCAGCTTGTCTTTATGTAGGCGAGTGGGGAAAGGAAACTGAGGTACATGCTCCTTAACCTTTGGCTGTGGCTTGGGAGCAGGCGTTTCTGTGTCTTCCCCCACTTCTGCAGTATCAGCTGGGAGTGTTGAAGCAGGTAGTGGCTCATCTCGACTGGGCTGGACAGGAGCGGCTGATGTGGTCTTGCCACTCCTGGTAGTGATGGCATCAAGCTGCTGGTGCTGGTGAGGATCACGAGGATTCGGAACAGTGGTGGCAGGCAGAGTTCCCGGTGCCCTGGTAGTGTTTTGGCGGGCCAAGATACCCACCTGGTTCTGCAGATCTTGCAAGATGGCACCTTGGTTCCTCTGACCTGCCTCCAGTGAAGCTACGCTCTAGTCCAACCTCGTGATAGTTGCCTGAATGCTGGTCATGAATGAAGCTAGAATATTTTCCAGCTTCGTCATCTGAGTATCTGGAGCCTGAGCTGCTGCTGGCTCGGCAAACTGGCGCTGCTGGAATGGTTGCCCCTGCCTAGGCTGGTAGGGCTGCTGCTGTGGGGCTGGCCCCTGTCGAGCCTAGAAGGGCTGCCTCTGCTGAAAGCCACCAGCTGGTGCTGGGAAACCAGGTGGCTTAGTGGTGTTGCTGCCCCAAGAGAAGTTGGGATGCTAGCGCCACCCCTCATTATATGTATTGCTGTACGGGTCGAGGCGTCGAGCATTGGCGATGAAGTCCAACTGCTCTTGGGGAGTAGTAGACTCCCTCATAGCCTGGCAGTCTTCCACTAAGTGATTCGAGCTCTCACACCACTGACATTGAGCTACTGGAGGTGTAGCCAAACCTCTGCCCGGAATAAGACTGTTGGGCTGCTTCAATGTCTGCACTAGCTCAGCTACCTGCTGCTCGAGCCCAGATCTGGTCTCCATGGCGTGCACACCACGGTCCCGGGCATAGAGACTCAATCACCCTCTGGCTATCTGGAGAGAGAGCACTGTAGAAGTTCCCCACTGTGAATGCATCACTAAAGCCATGATGGGGACACTGCCAGAAATATCCCATGTACCGCTCCCAAGCATCACGAAGTGACTCATCTGGCTCTTGGCGGAAGTGAGTGATCTCCCGCTGGATCTCTGTAGTCTTTGATGCCGGATAGTACCTGTGCACGAACTTGTCAGCCAGATCGTCCCAAGAGGTGATGGACAATGGGGGCTGGGTCTCCAACCACCTCTTAGCATTCCCCGCCAGAGAATGGGGGAAAAGGTGAAGGCGGATTGCATCATCAAGGACACCATTCAGCTTGAACCCGTTCGTCAGCTGCAGAAAACGGGAAAGATGCACCCTGGCCTCCTCGTCCTTCAAACCATTGAACTGGATAGAAGATGTAATGAGCTGAATCCAGCATGGCTTGATCTCAAAGTTGTTTGCTGGAATAGGCGGGTAGAGGATGACTGGGCGGATGTCAGCAATCCGAGGAGTGTAGTAGTACTCCAAGGTGGGACCCGGCGGCTGTGGATGATGAACCCCATGATCCTGGGGTATGGGGTTGTTCCCTAGGACCTGATTCACCGGGGGAGCCTGCTGAGGATTCCCCTGGTGTTGATTGTAGTCTCCGTCCATCCCGTACTCTTCTTCAGAATCGCTGCTCAGGTGGCCGTCTATGCGCTCTTCCGTAGCCAGTCTAGCTCGCTGTTGTCTCCTGAGTTGGCGACAAGTGCGTTCAATCTCTGGGTTCAACGGCAGTAAACCTCCCGACTGGCTACGGGTCATGCACTACCTGCACACACTCAAGCAAGCAAACCCGTGAAGGCACAAGTGGGACAAAGAAAACAGTGCGAAAAGAAAATCTAAATTAACAGAAATCACTTTTATTCTTCAACCTAGCCGTCCCCGGCAACGGCGCCAAAAACTTGACTCACTTCTACTGTCACTCCAGGAATTGGCCAAGTGAAACCACTTCCTAAAGCGTAGTATAGTGGGTTTGGGTTTAAATGTCAACCCGGGTCCTAGATTTGATGACTACTCGGTGAATTCTTGTTATCTAGCAATGAAACTTTAATGCAAGTCTAAACTAACAAAGCAAGTAAACAGTTGTATTCAGGTTAAGAGAGGTCACCCAGATAAGGTTCCCCCTAGACTGCAGTTAAGCCGGATTGCAATTACCAAGTTCAGTTTCTATGAAAGTTATACTGCGGAAGGTTCTTAAACAGCCTGAAGTCTCGACTAAAGGTCTTCAGACCCTCTCAATCTGAATCTCTAGCGGGTGACTATACTCCACCGGAGTAAACAGATTGAGGCCCTATGAACAAAACCTCCACTACCGAAGTGAATCAGGTACAGAATAGTGAGTTGGCTCCTCGACTAAAGTCACCAACTCCCTACCTTCAATCAAGGATGCTCTATCAACCTAGGCAGATATTCTCATTCTAGGTTAAAGCAGAAACAACAGGAATTTGATCAGGATTCATGCCATTCAATCATTCAAACCTCAATTGAATATAATCAAATCATAGAATCAGTACTTGGGTTCATACAATCAAACCTAACATACAAATCTAGGGTTCTCCATACCCAGATGAATGGGAGAACTACTCCATGGAGAAAGAAGCAAAAGCATAATCAGACGCGGAATTCATACTATGAAGGATGGATTCCTGCTCCTGGACGTTGATCGGCACTTCTCCAAGCTCAAGCCAAGCTCCAATGGTGATGAAGATCAAGCTAGGGCACTTGGAGACTCTTGTCCGTCGCTTTCTCTCTCTAGGAATCGCTCTGTCTCTCTAAAACTCGCATCCCCTTCTCTTTTGGCTGAAATCTGCTTAATAGGGCATCACTGGGCAAAACACGGTCGAGGGCACGGTCGTGTTTTGCCTCAGCCCGCCCGTGTTTTGGCAAGGTTTAATTACACGGCCAGACTGTTGGGGAAAACACGGGCGTGCTTTTGGTGGACACGGCCGTGCTTTTCCTCAACCCTGCCCGTGTTTTGAGCTCGTGCTTTTTAAACTCAGATTAGCTCTTGCCAGTAAAAGCACGGCCTAGGAACACGGCCGTGATCTACTTTAGGTGTGCCCGTGTTTTGACTCCAGCTTCACCGAATGACTTCCGAATGCCCCGAAACTCGTGCTTAGCCTTTCCTTCGACGCTTGGGACCTGAAATATGACAAAATAGCACAACCCGGCGTGAAATAGGCCAAAAATACATGACTATGCCCCTCAAACGGATAAGAACTAGGGGCCCAAATATGTGCAATTACATCGTTATCATCTTGCATCCAGCCACTTTGTGATACTCCTCTAGTCCCAGGGAGCAATACATCAGATTAGTCGCCTTACAGTTTTGCTGGAACTTCTCAAAGTTCATGAGGACCCTTGATCACTCTGGCCCACAACTTGGGATCTGTAGATCCGACGAACAGCTCTATACGGTTTTTCCAATACCCGTAATTGACTCCTTCGAATCTTGGAGGTCGATTCTGAGAGAAACCATCGGCGAGGTACAGAGGTGCATTGCTTGCCGACCTAGACGCCATCCTTGGATCCACCAGAGGTTGTTGAACCCTTTTTGACTGGTAACGGGGCTCTGATACCACATGTTGCTGGCTTCGAGCGCGAGATGCCTGCTTCGCGAGTTACTTGTACTAGCTCCTGCAAACCCTAGAACTATCTTTTGGGAAGATCAAGTGAGTTTGAGAAAGAATGGTTTTCTGATCGAAAATGTACCAGTGAACTAATGAAGTGAGAGTTGTTAAAACGAAACCCAATATGTCGTATTGGACTTGATTTGCCAGGCCCAGCGATTGTACGCACTATGCTCAGCTTACTGTGCCAAAACGTCTCGTTTTACCTTTACGATTCTGCTTCTTCTTCTTCCTTTTTCAAAAGCTAATTTTCCTATGCAAGATATTCACCCGAACCCTGCAAAACAGAGTATGGCCTATCCAATCCTGGATGATTAACCAAATTACTGACACCTATCTCCCAAACCCCAAGCTATCCAGCTTCTGTGTCTTCCAATACACTTCCTCTCTAACACTGTTTCACTCCCGAATCAATGCTAAAGCTGCTTTTCACTATCAATCACACTCGCTATTCCCTTAGCCTTCCTTGTGTGCCTTGATCTCTCGGAAAAGTTGCTTCTCTCAATTCCGAGCGAGCTTTTTGTACTTCATAGTGGCTAGTCGTTGCAGCCCAAGCAAGGTAGGTCTTCTCCTTTGAATTCTTTCCTGAATTGCTCATCTAATCAAACCTTCCATTCCACGCAAATCTGCTTTCCTTGCGCAAATGATTCTTTCCAAATGCAGATTCACCAGAACCACGATTTCCTTAGTCAATAGGATGAGAGGGTCACATTAGTGGCTTGGATTGTATCCCATTTCCTCGACCTAGAGACTAAGAGGGTAGCCTTGGTTACTTGTTAGACTTCCCTGTGGTTTATAACCCCATAACCACACACGGTCACGATTCTTCAAGTCGTAATTGTTAGCTAGGGGGAGCAACACCCGGGTGAAGCCTTCTCAATTGGTGAAACCCCCTTTCTTTGAAAGAGGCTTGTAAAGTTGGGGTTTCTTAGAAAAATCTTGGCTCCTATCTAGGTTAATGTAGGGAGCCCTCTTTGTTCATATTAGCACCTAGGATTGGTTTTAATTTGGTCGTCTGAACTCTGATTCGAGGTTAAAGTCTTGGCAACCCTTAGTCAATAGGTCAAGAGAGATACTTTGGTAGCTTGAATCGAATTCCCTTGACTTATTGACTAAGAGAGTGGCGTTTGTTCACTTATTTCACTTCCCTACGGTTTACAACCTCCATACCACACGTGTTCATTCGATCCGACAAGTCATAATTGCTAGCTATGGGGAGCAACACCCGAGTGAATCTTTCTCAATTAGTGTCAAATCTATTTACTTTTCCAAATGTTTTAGATATAGATCGTTGTTTTCACCAAAAACCAATCTCTAGATAATGTTTCAAACAACCGAAGTAGGGGTACATGGACTGACCCTGGTTTATATTTAAGCATACTTGCCCTATATTGCACCTAATTAAGGTTTATACTTGGGCCCTAATTGGGATTTTTATTGTGATATTCGAGACGAGTCAATACCTAAGAAGGATAAGACTTGGCGTATGTGCGTTGATTGCCAAGCCGTCAACAACATCATGGTAAAGTATCGACATCCTATTCCTAGACTGGATGATGTGTTGGATGAATTGCATGGTTCCAGTGTGTTTTCTAAGATAGATCTTAAATCTGGATACCATCAAATTTGAATGAAAGAAGGTGATGAATGGAAAACAACCTTTAAAATGAAACATGGTTTATATGAGTGGTTGGTTATGCCTTTCGATTTAACTAACACACCTAGCACTTTTATGAGATTAATGAACCATGTTTTGAGAGGTTTTATTTGAAAATTCATGGTGGTCTATTTTGATGATATTCTGATTTATTCTAAGAACTTAGATGACCACGTGAATCACCTTAGAACTATTTTGGAGACTCTTTGAAAAGAGCAATTGTATGGTAATCTCAAGAAATGCATGTTTTGCACCAATTGACTTCTGATTTTGGGATTTGTGGTGAGTTCAAAGGGAATTTATGTGGATGACAAAAAGATTGAGGCAACAAAAGCATCACCCACCCCAACTAATGTGAATGAGGTTCAGAGTTTTCATGCTATTGCAGGGTTTTATCGATGGTTTGTAAAGGATTTCAACACCATTGCTACTCCTTTAACCTTGACAATTAAAAGAGCATGACCTTTCAATGGAGTGAATCTCAATAGAAAGCTTTCGAGCTTTTGAAGTATAAACTAACCCATGCTCCTTTGATGATTTTGCCTGACTTTTCTAAAACATTCAAGATCGAGTGTGATGCCTCTGGTGTAGGCATTGGTGCTGTTTTGATGCAGGAGAAGAGGCCAATCGCTTTATTTAGCGAAAAGTTGAGTGGGGTTGCCTTAAACTATCCCAAGTATCTCAAAGATCTCTATGCTCTTGTTCGAGCTCTAGAAACATGCCAGCGCTACCTCTGGCCTAAGGAGTTCTTGATCCACAGTTCCACACTGATCATGAGTTCTTTAAGTACTTGACGGCACAACATAAGCTGAACAAACGACATGCTCGATGGGTGGAGTTCATCGAATCCTTCCCCTATGTGATTTTCTACAAGCAAGGTAAGGAGAATGTGGTTGTCGATGCCCTTTCTTGTAGGTATGCTATAATTTCATCTCTTGATGTTTGATTCATTGGGTTTGAGCATATCAAAGAATTGTGTGTCAATGACCCTGATTTTGGTGAGACTTATGCGGCTTGTGAGAAGCATGGTGAGGGAAAATATTATCGAGCTGCTGGATATTTGTTTCATGCTAACCAACTTTGTGTGCCTCCTGCTTTGGTTTGTGAGTTGCTGGTTAGAGAGGCTCATGGTGGCGGCCTCATGGCTCATTTTGGGGTATCCAAACTTTGGATTGCCTCCGGGAACATTTCTATTGGCCACACATGAGGTGTGACATGGAGAAGGTGTGTGCGCCGTGTCTTAAATGTCGCCAAGGCAAGTCAAAAGTTCAGCCAAACGGGTTACCTCTCCTATTCCTACTGCTCCTTGGATCGATATTTCTATGGATTTTGTTCTTGGATTACCTGGGACTAGGAATGGTAGAAATTTTGTGTATGTTGTGGTTGACCAGTTTTCAAAGATGGCGCATTTTATACTATGTCACAAAAGTGATGATGCATCTAATGTAGTGGAACTGTTCTTTCAAGAAATTGTTAGGTTGCATGGTATTCCTAGTACTATAGTCTTTGGTCGTGATGTCAAGTTCTTGAGTTACTTCTGGAAAACTCTATGGAGTAAGCTTGGCACTATGTTGTTGTTTTATACTACTTGCCACCCTCAACCGAATGGCCAAATTGAAGTACTTAATAGGACTTTGTCTCAAATGCTTAGGGTTGTCATTAAGAGTCATATCAAGTCTTGGGAAGAATGCTTACCTCATGTGGAGTTTGCATATAATAGGTCTGTTCATTCTACCACTAAGTTTTCACCATTTGAGATTGTGTATGGATTTAATCCTTTAACCCCATTGGATTTATCTCCGTTACCTGTCAATGAGCGTGTGAATTTAGATGGTGCGAAGAAAGCAGAGCTTGTTCGAGGTTTACATGAGAAGGCGTGGCTGAACATAGAGAGATAGACGAAGAAGATACTGAATAATGTGAACAAACATTGGCATCCTCAACGATTTGAGCTAGGAGATTCGGTCTGTGTGCACATGAGGAAGGAATATTTTCCCCATGAAAGACGTTCCAAGTTGTTGCCTCGTGATGATGGTCCTTTTCAAGTCCTCTCCCTCATCAATGATAATTCCTACAATATTGATCTACCAGGCGAGTATGGTGTGAGTGCTACGTTTGATGTTGCTGCATTAGCTCCTTTCCTTGAATACGACTTAGATTTGAGGGCAAATCCTCTTCAAGTGGAGGGGGGTGATGAGGGCATCAGCACCAAGGCGATCTCAATTCCAACTCTTGTGCGAGAGGAACCTGATCCGGTCACTAGAATTCAAGTCAAGGCATTCAAGGGTCAACTTCAAGCTTATTTGGCCCCAGAACATCACCAAAATGAAGGTCGACTTGTTCGTGGGACGAGAATTGATGATCATAGGAGTTGGTAATGCTTCAAACCAATTCCTCGCCCATGGCAGTGCAAAACCCGATCAAGTAAATGATGAGGAGATCACGGATTGTGTCCAGGGATTTCCCCCAACCTTGAAGGCCAATTCCCCGATCGGGGATTCGTGAAGGAGATCAGTTTTTTCACCCCTAGCTGCTGCCAACGAGTTTTATGTTTCCTTTGCGGATAATTTGAATTTTACACCCAAACTCGGGTTTCTTTGTTATTTTTGGCCCAAAACCTTTGTAGCCTATATAAGGGGATGAACTAAGTCTTTTAGAGGTCAATCAAAAAATTTATTTAGAAATACAAACCCTAGAATTGGTTCTTCAAACTCCAATTTCTGCTAGCTCATCACCCTATCTAAATAGTCCTTCGTATATCTGGACCTCTTTCCGACACGTGGATTTTTTTCTTTTTGGGTTATTATCCTATTTGTGATCATTGTGCTTCTAATTGATCTTTGTTACGTTTCTTATTGTTTAAGACCATGAGTTAGAGCCTCGACTTATATCAGGTAGCTCCTCTTCCTTAATCCTTGGAGTGATAATGAGGATGAAGTGGTTGAAGGTGAAGTGGTGGTTGAACTAGAAGTGGTGACTATGCCAGCTCTGTGTAGTGGCAGCTTGGTAGGATGACTAATTCACTAGTGGTGGAAGGGGCGAGTAAGGACAAATAAATTTTTTATAATGATGGACATGGGTAACACTCACACCTTCCTGTATAAGTTTAAGGTTGAGGAGTTGAAGTGCACTGTGGTAGCAACTCCTCCCTTGTGGAGCAAGTTAGCTAATGGAACAGTGCTGATGTGTAATCCACTTACAAAGTATTCACTTGGGAAATGCAAGGAGATTCCTCTTCATTCGATGTTAGAATATTAAATCTGGCATACATGACATGGATGGGCAGTTGCAACTATTCTTTCAGTTCGATGGGCAGGTGGTGGTTTTATATGGAGCACAATGCTGACTTGATATATACACATGTTTTGTCCACCATTCTTACACCGTTTGAGTCGTATTTCTCGTGTTTTAGGCCGATTTCATGCTAGGTTGTTCTTGTTTGTGATATTTCAGGTCCTCGTACGTGAATGAAGTTTTGGGAACGAGTTCGGGGCCGATTGGACGAAGATTGGACATTTGGCGAGAAGCTGAGGAAGCCACACGGGCATGCCTAAAAACCCACACGGCCGTGTGACCTGGCCGTGTGGTACCAAATTGCACGGGAAAGCCACACTAGCCATGTAGGGGACCCCTTGGGGCCGTGTGGAAAGTCCACGGAGCTCACACGGGCAGCCTGGAAAATCCACACGGCCGTGTGGTTTTGGCCGTGTAGCATACCTGAGCCACTTAAGTGAAACGCGGCGTTTTGCACACTCACACGGGCAGCTGGGAAAGCCACACGGCCGTGTGGTAGAGAATTTTTGGGTTTTAACCCAAATTCGGCCAAAGGAGAGAGGTCGACTTTGTGGAGGAAAAATAGAGTTTTAGAGAGAGAAAGTGCGAAGAACAAACCCTAGGAGCTATTTGGAGTGAATTTCTCACCATTGAAGCCCAGATTGCATCCCCAGGAGTGAAGATTGACATCCCAGAGCAGATTCTTCCCATTGTTATGAGTATGACTACTTTGTATTCTTTTTCCCTCTCTCTCTCTATGGAGTATAACTTTCCCTCTCTTGGGTATGAAGAACCCTAGTTCCATGTGTTAGGGATCTTGAGTGTAATGACTTGGGATTGTTATACTGCTTGATTTTAATCGAATGATGCATGATTCATTGAATCAATTGAAGTCTGAACATCTTTTCTTGATTTCTGCTGCAACCTGAGATAGATAGAATCTGATTAGGTTGTTAGAGCTTTATCATTCGGTAGTAGTAGATTGGTTATACGAGATTTAGTCAATCTACTGCTTTGTACTGGAACCCAATTCCAGTAGTGGAGTTCTGTGTTTATTGCCTCAGCAGTCTATCCCGGTGAAGGTTAGTCGCCTGCCGGTTAGCCTGCCTAAGAGGGCTTGGTCAGCTTAAGAGATTCCAAGCTACTGTGGGATCTTCCGCAGTTTAATCAACAGTAATCAACCCAGAGTAATTATAACTGAGACCTAACTAAGGAGCTAGGGGGACTCATTCCCTTGCTTTAGAAAATCGAATCATTTCCTGCTTTCTTACTGCTTTTAGTTAAAACTACAATCAATCGACTTAGTTTGCTAGATAACAAATATACACGGAGTAGGCAGTAGATCTAGACCCCGGGTTGACAATTAGAGCTTGCCTGTTACTACATTTCCGGACTGCGATTACACTTGGTCGCAGTTTGGTGTTGTGTTTTAGCGTGTCACACAAGAAGTGGGATCTTGTAAGATCATTTATGTCCAGGGAATTCAAAGGTTTTTGAAGAAGAAAGTACAAGGTTGGGCAGGACACCTATTCAATATTGTTTAGGTTAAGCGACCATGTGGGATTCCTACATTTCTACTTCATTTAGTTCAAGAGTACTCGAATGTGTTTGGTAAACTCACAACTATACCTCCCTCTAGACCCTGTGACCATGCCATACCCTACAAACAAACTCCTAACCCGTTAATTTTCGAACTACATATATCCTTTGCCTCAGATAGACATAGTAGAGAAAATGGCACAAGAAATGTTAGACTCCAAACTGCATCAAAAAAGTAAAAGCCCATTGGCTTCACATGTCTTGTTAGTAGCTAACAAAGATGGAACCTCAAGATTCTATTTAGACTATAGACAACTTAACTCCATCACTATTAAAGATAAGTTTCTCATTCATGTCATAGAAGATTTGTTGGATGATTTAAGGGGATTCAATTATTTCACCAAGTTAGATCTACTATCTGGATACCATCATATCAGGATGTGTCCTACGGACCAGCACAAAACAACTCTTATAACTCATCATGGTCATTTAGAGTTTTTCGTTTTGCCATTTGGATTGACCAATGCTCATGCTACCTTTCAAGCCCTCATGAACACCATATTTCCAGCCTACCTCGGAAATTTAATCCTAGTTTCTTGTGATATTTTAGTCGACGGTCCAGATGAAACCATTCACTTATAAAATCTCCAAATCACCCTTTTCATTCTCAGACAACACTCTTTATGCAAAACACTACAAGTGTTCCTTTGGCCAAAAGGGTAGTTGCGCAAGACATAAGTTTGTCATGCAGCTTCTGATTCAATAGTCGCACAACCAGGAAGAGGATGCCGCGTGGGAGTTTTTGGATGAATCGAAGAAGAAATTTTCAGATTTCCATACTTGAGGCCAAGTCTGTTCTGAAGGGGTGGAACTTGTAACAATTCAGAGTAGATAGTAAACAAATAGAAAAATAAAGGGGTAATACCACTACAGCACCCGAACTATCGCAAAAATGTCACTTGTATCCCGATTTATTCAATATTCCATGTATATCATGAATAATTTTTCTGTTAAAAGTTGACTCGTTTTGACCGTTAGTTGTTAACAGAAAGTCCAGTCAACATGTGACGTGGAATTTTAATTTATTTAATAAAAAAGTTAAAATAAAAAACAATGAAAATAAAAATAAAAAACGTTTCATCTCCACCATTCACCCCCTTGACCCTTTCTCCCCCGTTCACCCTTCCTCTCTCATAGATTCGGCAGCAACGAGCCTTTTACGGCACTTGCGGCTACTCCGCTCAACAACGACAACACCACCATTAGCGGAAACTTCTTGCCTCTTCTCGTCCCTAACCAGCTCCTCCCATAAATAGATTCAAGCAAGTAATGGAGAAAGTCGGAGAGCAATGGATTGGGATGGCGACGATGGCGGAGGCTACCCAGAAACGTAGCCTATCTACCCAAAAATATCAAATCCAACATCTTTGTGGTTCTATTGGTACGATTGAACGGGGATCGATGTTGAAATATCCTCCCTAGAACCCGCCTATTCTATGCTCTGCAAAATGGGGAAATAAAACAAAAATTCAAAAGCCAAAAGTTGGAAACTGGAAGTTGTAGAAGAACAAAGGTCAGAGGAAACGCATCGAGGAGAGAAAGCGGGCGCGCGTCTCCTCGGACAAATCGACATACAAGGAACAGAGGCTGACCGTGGAGCAGTGGAGTCGGTGCAGAGAGGCTGCCCCAAATCACCCTCGACAAGCTCAAGGTAGCACTGCGCCTATTAATTAACCCAAAAGCGATCAGAATCGATCGATGCACTCCTCTCACTCCGTCTCTCCAATCTGACCCAGTAACCCAAATCTCAGCCTCGCTACCTTGCAAATCACAAAGGAGAAAGGGGGAGTAGAGGAAGGGGAAAGCGACTCCCTCTCCGATCTTCTTCTTCGTCCAATGTAAACGAGCAGGGGAATCGGCTTGGAGATTTTTTAGAGAAAGAGAAGGCGAATCGATATGGAAGAAAAATAATTGGAATTTTGGCTCAATAATATAATTGAATTTACAATTTTTTTAATTTTAGCTCAATTTTTATTTAATTTGAATTAAAAAAATATGAGGTCAGTGACGTGGCATCTATGTGGTAGCCACATTTTTGTCACGTCAACTAAAGTCAACTTCGCGTTGACCACCGTTTGGTCAACCGATATCTTTAACGATCAACGAAATTGACAGGATACAGATGACATAAAGTGTAACACCCTATCCTATACGTATTACCTAATCATATTGTTCATACAATTGCAGCGGAATTAATCTCGGGTGTTACATTAATTATCAAAATTTATCTAAATAAAATTTCGACATGAATTACTCGCGTAATGGGCTAACAGTTCTTGCAACTTGTCCTGCAAAATAATTTATCACAAACATATATACTCACAACCATAAGCATTGGCTTTCCATAGCCATAGTCACAGTTTCATACTCCGCAACTGCATACCTTACTAATACATGTCATAGTCATCACAACTTACACAGTTACACAACATATACACATATCCTCAACTTTCCACACCTGTGGATATCTCACACTACATTCGAAGCTAGTATGCACATGAAAATGTTCTCAAAACATTTTTACAAAAAGGGTGTGGATCACTGGCCAAAATCCCAAGTAGTAGTCCAAGCACCAAATAGTTGAAGACCATACCTCATCCTGGCTTCAACTCTAGCTCCTCTCCCACCTAACACTTATCTACTGCTGCTGCTGATGATCTGCTTACACATAGCATAAGCAGAGAAGAAGAATAAAAGAGGGTCAGCTCATAGCTGAGTGAGATAATCATCGCATAGTGAGTTCATAACAGAGCATACCCCTACTATACATCTAGCAGACAAGCCAAAACACTAGGATCGGACCTCAGCCATCCTCATATCCCAATAAGCAAAAGACTCAACCACTTTGACTTATGCATATGCATCTTATCATGTTTTACTTATAGGCGCCTGGCTACTCCCATGCTAATAACTCTCCCGGGAAACATACCCCACATCCCGTCGGATGTAGTCATACATACCCCAACATCCCGTCGGATGTGGTCATACATACCCCACACCACTATGGGTGTAGTCATACCCCGACACCACTCTGGGTGTGGTCATATCTCATAAGAGTTCTTCAGTCACCACCACATGAGAGGTGTGACTATCATACATATCATAATAGAGTAATAGCATAGGGAGCCCTAATTACTATGTAATTGACCGTGAGACCACAACCCTCATATTTGGTATCCTTGTACATGGTTCATATCTCATCTTGCTTATTCATAATTCATTACTTGCACATGTACTTGACCAGGCCACCATTGGCTCAACATAGGTAAATCAGGAGTCGCATAATTGCACTTCCTCGGGATAAACCCTCGTGCAAGTCATCCTGCTTAAAACATCATAATATCACCCTGGGAAGTTTATTTCCCCCACTTGTGAATCCAAATACAACCACAATATCACATCATATCAAAACACCTGATCGAACAACCATGAATTCATATCAACGGTTAAGCCACAAATGGCAACATGTATGCAATCATCAACATAAACAAGGTCCATATCGGCTAGGGCAAATCAATAATATCATACAACAGTCCAGGGTTCATCATATAACACAAAAGTCCATACACCCCTAATCATGCCAGTCTAGTTCACCTAGGTCAATTCTAAGCATCAAAATAATTATCGTGATACGACAAACCCGGTATGCCGTGCTAATCCCTCACCAGTTCTGGTCGTTCAAACACCGGTTCTAGCCTCCCGTACTAAAACATCAATTTCACGAACGAACCCCGAATTAAAATCCGAGACCTTCCTAATATCCCCTGCAGTATCCCCGTCAATATTAGTTCTAGGCTCCGGGTCAAATTCTTGATAAAAACACATCAAACCCTGGCCGGAGCTAAATTCAGCGGTTGGACCCCGGCCTAAATAATAGCCGAAAATCAGGAATTAGAACTAGGGGATTGATTACCTCGCTGCAGGAAGCTCGTATATGAAATTTGGGCTCAATCCGGCTTCCGGATACTCCGAAACCCTAATTTGGCAGATCAGGAATTCAAGAAATTCCTGAACCAAAAACTCGTTTTAAAGCTCTAAATCGATAAAACACGATGTATAGATGAATTAGGCATTACTTACGGGATTTTTGGATCACTAGGGCTCAAGATTTTGAGCTTTGGAATTTTGGGTCGAGAGCTCCGCGCGTGCTCTGTTTCTCTCGTTTCTCTCGGAAATGGAAGAAGAAGGAAGAAATGGACAGGGAATTGGGACGAGATGGATTTATAAATCCATAAGGGCCGTGTAATTAAATACATATATATATATATATATATAAAATTAATACGTATACTTATCCGATCG